GGTTCTGAGGCTGCCCAAGCCGCAAGCAGGATGCAAGGCTCTCCTGGAAAGTCCAAACTCCAGGAGCCTGTAGAGGATGTTCTGTGACCGCTGCCTCCTAGGTCGGGTGTCCTGTCCCCATCACGTTCCTACACTCCTCTAATGCCACCTCTTGAATGAGGACAGTGAATTCCAAAGGAATGCCTATCTGTGTTTATAAAGTAGAGGAAGAACAAAGCCAAGCCTGGCTGGACAGGGCTGCAGAAGGCACCTGTGACCCTCAGACCAGAAGCTCAGACTGCAAGGTTCCAGCCAGACTAATTCCAAGGCAGTGGATGGGAAGGAGGTGGCTTGCATTATAGATGACTACGCTGGAGGCCTGTGATTCATCTGTAAACTCCCTGGGGAGCAGGTAGCAGAAAGAATATAAGCAGAAATATGAAGTCAGAGGCCGAGAAACAGAAAGGGAGAAAAAAGGCAGGGCCAGATGGCTCAGGCCTGTAATCCCAGCACTTTGGGAGGCCAAGGCGGGCGGATCACTTGAGGCCAGGAGTTCGAGACCAGCCTGGCCAACATGGGGAAACCCCCGTCTCTACCAAAAATACAAAAATTATCTGGGCGTGGTGGCCGGCGCGGGACAATGAGACCCGGGATCTCGCCACTGCACTCCAGCCTAGAGCCAGACTCTGCCTCAAAAAGAGAGAGAGAGAGAGAGAGAAAGGGAGGGAGGAGAGAGAGAGAGAGAGAGACAGGGAGACAGGGAGAGAGAGAGAGAGAAAGTTACAAGGAAGAGAAAAAAACGGTGAGAACACGGTAGCATGGGGAGAGGCGCAGAGAGGAAAGTGGAAGACAGAAACGGTGACCCGCTGCTCCAAAATAAATTGAACAGGGAGAAAAAAAGAGACTCAGGGGTATGTGGACAAAGAGTGGAAGAGCAGGACGAGGGTGTGCCCCAGGCTGGAACAGGCCAGAGAGCCAGACCCGGGTAGAGGGGAGGGGGCCAGCCGAGGGGCGAGGTGCGGGGAGCAGACGGGAGAGAGGGCCACGCGGAGCCGCGAACACCCGAGGAAAAGCGGCCCCGCCGCGCCACCTTCGGGGTTCCGGGCTTGGGCCACTCGCCCCATGCCCAGGGTTCGGGGACAACAGCAGCACGCGGCCGCAGCCAAGGAAGGAGCTCGCCAAAGTTTGCAATAAAATCATCCACGCCCGCCTCCGTCTCGGCGGGACCTCGTGCAAATAAATGCACTCGCCCGGGCGCTCCCTCGCCCCCTCACCCCCCCGCCCCCTCCCCCCCTCGCTCCCTCGCCCCCTCCCCCCCTCGCTCCCTCGCCCCCTCGCCCCTGCTGCAGCCCAAGCGGCCTCTCCCGCGGGTGGGTGGTGCTGGCGGCGGCGGGAGGGCCAGCTCATGGTGATCCCCGATGGTGACGCTAGAGGGCGCGCAAGGGTTGCTGCGCCGCGCCTGGTCCGCGAGGAGCGGCCGGGTAGAAACGCAGAAAGAGTAGGGCCTGCGGGTGTCGGGCCGAGCAGTGGGGTGCTGGGGGCTGGGCAGTGGGGTGCTGCGGGGCCGCGCAGTCGGGTGCTGGAGGCGCTGGCCCGATGGCTGATGGGAGGGTGCCATGCAAAGAGGTGTGGCGCACTTTATTTAATCGGAGAGAGGTTGCCCCTGAATTAAATCTTTGCAAGGCTGAAACAAGCCAGTGCAAAACTAAATGAGAGACAGGCGGAGGCAGGCAGGGTGTGAGAGGCCCTCACCTCTCTTCCTGGGTTACTGACCCCCCAAAACTGCTCAGGGGAAGAAATGGTCTGATCCCACCAGTACTCACCTTTGCACACATACACACGCCCATTCGGAATGGGGTGGGGTGGGGGGCAGGTGGTGAACTTTAAAAGGCTTTTAAAGCGGGAAAAAAAAAAAAAAAAAAAAAGGAGCGGGGGTTTGCACGAGGCTGAGGTACTTGAAATGATTTTTGTGTTGCAAATTGCTATGCTTTTACTGAGGCGCTGATGAAAATAAATGAAGCTCCTCTCTCTCTTTTGCTAATAAATGAAATGAAAAAAGCGCCATTATTATGCCACCTGCTTCTAATTCCTAATTGTGGTAACTTAATTCTCAGATTGTTGTTAGCTGCTTAATATCGCAGGCGCACAAGCAAAAAAATAAAAATATAGGAGCCATTTGGGTCTTTTTTTGGCCGATGGAGGTGGACGGTGCTGGTGCTCTGTTGTTTTTTATTTAGTTTGGTGACAGTTCCCACAGTGAAATGTGCGTGCGGTATTGGAAGGGAGAAATCTTCATTCTCTTCAGCATCCCAGGGGGAGCTCAGAAGGAATAAAAAGGTTTCTGAGATGCTCAAAACCTAAATAAATAGTCCATGAAAAATGATCAGTGACAAGGTCCATATTTTTTCCGTACTGAAATAGAATGGTGCATACTTCCTATAAAAGAAAAAAACATTAATTTTTATAACCTGGTTCCTAAATGCCTTCTATGAACCTCTAAACCACACAGTTCCCAGCCTGGGCGCTGTAGCTGGGTCCCCCAGCTGAAAAATCTTTGTTTTGGGTGTCACAGATGACAGGTAAATTCCTTTCCAGTCATTACTTCCAGGCCCTCTAGTCTGCGAAGGTGGGGTTGGTGATGGGGTGGTGGAGGGGGGGGGGAATCTGATTTGAATTTTCTCCCAGGCAAATAGAAATTAGCAGATCTGAATCACGATTTTGCCAAAGTGAAGAGCTATATTTAGCTGCTTCTCTTATTTTCCGTTAAAATCAAGCTTTTTTGTTTGTTTTTCTTGGTCTTTCTTATTGTTGGGAAGTTCTGGAGGATCAGACGTGTTAGGAAGGTGTGAGAGAGCCCCAAAGAAGTCCAAATTTAGGAGAGAAAAATGCCATATTTCTTTGGTACAATTATGAAAGGCTAGAATATTTCCTTATGCTGTAACACATTTTTTTTCTTCTCTAGTTCTAGGCAAACAGCTAAATAAACACATAAGAATAATAAGCATTTAATCAAGAACAACTTGTCACAATGTTGCTAGTCAGCAAGACAGAACTGCCTTCTGTGAAACCGAATGAAATCAACTTAATACTTCATGCCCTGGCCTCCCTGGCCTTTGAGTTTTTCACATGAGATGCATTTGTCCCTTATGACTGTGAATGAGAGTCCCTTGGAAAATGCTGGCTAAATTGCATCCAAGCCAGTTTGGGGCCTGCCGGGGAAAGCAGCCAGACCTTCAATCCCAGTTCAAACTACCCTCTAAGTGTTGCCGCGACACATGGCGATGTCCTGTTGACTATAAAATCCCGTTCTAGCAGACGAGAACGCCATCCAGCTCTTAGCAGAAGGGCAGCCTGCATGAGGAGACCGCGAGGTGCTGCCCTGTCCCAAACGCGAGCAAAGTTCATGGGGGAGAGAAAGCAGAGCAGCCACCCTGAGTCAGCCCTGAAGCAAGAACAACCGAAAGAAAACACTTGTGAATGAAACTTAGCAAGCTCTCAATGGAGCTGGAGCAGCAGGTGCTGTTTAAATAACCAAAATAAGGTTGCAAGCAACAGATCCTATGTTTGCTGGGTTCCTTCCTATGCTGCATGACATTAGAGAGTGAGTGTGTAAAAATACAAGCCTACATCTGCAGGCAGAGCTAGGCTGATGGTGAGGAGACGGAGCAAATGAACCCCAAATTCAGGAAAATATGCAAAAGGTTTGCTCTTTAAATTCTACAGGAAAACAAAGTGGAAAATGTGTGTCTGGGCTGTAGTGAGGAGGGACAGATGAAACATGGAATGCTAATGTGTATCATGATCAACCTAGAGTATCTTATTTACATCTTAAGCTATTTGTTGCTGATTTTCCATGCAACTGTTTTGTACTGGAATTCTCAAAGCTGAACCAGAGGCATTTAAATGACCCTGTATGTTTGCTATGTGTCTTGTAGAAAGCATAGACACACGCCCACACACATGCACGCGCACACACACACACACACGTGCACACACACACGCACGCGCGCACACACACACACACAGCCAGTCCCACATCTATGTGCATAAGCAGCATATACCCCCCTTATCTCTACAAGTCTCTGCCATCTCTATATTCCCAAACACAGGAGAATCTATGTATTTATTTCTCTCTTGAACCCGACTATGCAACACAAGTCAACACTCTTAAATGTCATCTTTTAATACCTCATATAAAAGGCAAACTTTTCCTAACATGCTTTTCCCCAATCCTATTTAATGAACTCCCCCTGAACGCTGCATGTGCCCAATTTCATCTGTAGAGGTAAGGCATAATATGAAAAAAATATATTTTTTTGGTATTAAAAAATGAAAGGAAAAAAGCAGGGGAAATATTTTGAAAGTCAATTAAAATTTTGTGTACGTTTTCATTTTTTAATGATAAATTAAGTTACTAATTTTGTCCGTGCTCTTTGTAGACACTGCAGGTTTAATTGCTAATTGTTAACTGCGAATGAATACATTTGCATATTAATTAGCTCCCAATTTACATTTTTAATTTGCTTCCTTCAAAAGGTGCAAGATAAAAGGTCGTGTTATTTTAAATAATTTATGCTTTATTGCATGAAATACGCTAATATGAAATGTGCCTACTAATTTTAACCCCTTTTCTAAGAAGGAAAATGAATACCATTAAAAGGGGGGAGGCAGAGCTGGTGGTGTTTTGAAAAACAACATTATGCTACGCTGTACCTCAGCAGCCGATCTGCTTTTTCCTGCAACCTCCTTGGGCTGAAAAAAAATGAATGTATTCTTTTCCTTTACCATCAGTTTAAAAAGTGATAATATATTTGAAGAACAAAACAGCTGCAGTGGGGGAACTGATCAGTGCTTTATCCAGGAAAAGACCGACAAAATGAGTCTTGTTTCTAGTCAATACCGCCAGCACGTGGAATCCCCCCTACCCCGTCCCCCAGCCCGTGCAGTGGAGACGCCTCCAGCAGAAGCCTCTTCTCCCCACACCTACCTCCTCACCCCCCAAAAGAAAGTTTTGCAGCTCACATCTTTCTCTAGGTTTTGGAATCCAAGTTTCTCAGCCTGGTTTCCTGAAAAATCACGAGGTGGTTTGCACAGGGGAGAGTTCGCTCTTTCCCAAAAGCTGAGCAAAGAGGTTCTGAAATTGTAATTTTCGTTCCTCATCCCTTGTCAGTCAGCTTCACTGTAAGAAAATAAAACCCTATTGTTAAAGTGGTGATATGAATATCATCATGGCTAAGACCAGAAAACGAATATTCAGTTCTGAAAGGGGTGTACAGATTGGTGTATTTGACCGTTACTGGAAACATCTCCTTTATTTTCTTCCTCTTTTTCTTCTGTATGATGTCATTTTGAGACATACCCACTAAAATGGTGCTAATATTTCATAGGGCTTTTAAAATAATTTGTCTAAATAAGCATGCGTTCAAAAAATTTTAAAAACAGGGCTTGGGTACTGGAAAATATAATTATGGAAAAATATATGAACAATTTGGAGGAAACTGAAACCTGTCACTTTGTTCTCTGGATGACTGCTGAGTCTCAGCCCTTTTCATTGTGTCTAATTTTTTGCAGATGGAACCCAAGCCAGTCTTGTGGTAGGAACCTCCTAGCTGAGGGCCACCTAAGATCACCCTCGCCAGGATTAATTTATGTGGATCTGCAGGCGAACAACATTGGGCTGCCTCCCTGCACAGATCCAGGGCTCTGACCGAAACCGTCCCTTGTTCTGACACCAAAACACCCCCTTCCAGACCATGTGGGACAGGTTGGATGGAAATGCATTCGAAGTGTGAAGCAGTGGAGTGGAGTCAGTTGTTCAGCAGAGGGTCGATCTTTCTGGGCAATTATAGCTGCAGTGACAGCAGCACTCGCAGGTTCATTGTGGAAGACGCACTGGCAGTTAGCTTTCTCCCTCCAGAGAAGCCAGGTGCATGAGCACATCCCTCCAAGTGATTAGGATTTTCAAGTAGAAAGATTTCCTTCTGCTCACATGAACATCAGCAGAACAAAAACTCGTGGCAACATGCAACCTTGGCTGTTTGTCCATCTAAGGGTAGGAGACTAAGCGGAGAGGAGCTGCAGTTTAACCACGTGTTATTTCAGTCTCACCTGGTCATCAAAAGAGGCATGAGAACAGCCAAATACCCCAAAACCAACGAGCTCACGGCCACTGCTGCCTAACAGGGAGGGGTCGAACACAGGAATGCGAGGGACAGCTGCCTTTTGTGAAACGTGGATGGATAAATGGGCAAACACATACAGAGATACGGAGGGTTCATCTGCAGTGAATATTTTGGCTTTTTATTCAGCTGTGTGTTGACACTATCGTAAATTCGCCGGCACAGACACCGTGATTGAAGACAGGCTCTGCCCGCATCATCCCTGCACACGAGTCCTTCTGCATTTCTGTCTCTGTTGCTGAGGTTTCTCATATTTCATACCTCTACAGCCCTCCCGTAAATCAGGGGTTAATTGTGATTCTTTCAGACCCATGGAAATAGGAAGCTGAGACTTCTGAAGGATCACTTACTAGTCGGGAAGCGCGCGAAGGGAGGGGGTACTTTCTGAAATCCAACTTTACTGCTTTTACCGAACCATTTGTTGTGCATGTGTGTGTGTCTAAAAAATGCATTTGGTACAAATGTTTGAAAGTCCTGGTGTGCTTTAATTAATAAAGCCACTTAGGATGAGTGCAAATCGTGCACGCAGAGATGTGCACGGCCCAGCATCTCTCTGACATCCAGCCCGGTTTGTTTAGTGTAATAGTCAAAACATTTTTTCTTCTCTCGGGTCATGTTGATCTGTAGAATAATTTGAATTCTCAAGCTGTTATCCATACATCACTCCCAATCACATCCAAATGAAAGGAAACAATTTCATATTCTATAATTGAGTAACACCAAGAATGCAACAGGCAGGAGGTGTTATGGGGAGGGAGGGGGTGGGGGAGTGGGCAAAGGACTGAGGCCTGAGCCCTGAGCCCCAAGCCCACCAGGCACGACCCGGAGCAGGTGACATAGCTGCCTCACCTAAACGACTCTCTTCACCTAAGTGTTCTCCATATTCAGCCGCAGAGCTCCCACCCACACTGTCTTCCCTCCTGAAACAAAATCTTTCTGGAAAATTCCAACATGTTTGACAGATTTATTCCATTGGAGACCCTCCACCCCCTTTCTTAAAGGAAAACATTTCTGGGGTGCACAGAGCAACCCTATATACCATGCGCCATAGAAGGCTAGGTTGATTCCTTTCTTTTAATTTTTTTCCCCCGTAACAGGAGAGGGTTTGAAGAATGCTTCTACCATGGATACCAGAGAGGGGAATTTTAAGTAGGCAGAATGTAATCACCCAAATTGGAACTCAGCCAGGACACTGCCAGGGCAATTACTCCTCCTCTCGTGCTAAATGCCAGGGGAGCGTAAATGACCTGCAGTTTTGCACCCTCGTGCCAGCAGAGGGGCTCGCAGGGGCAGGAGCCCTGGAGCTCACCTGGGACAGAACAGCCGCCCCTCCCCGTCACCCCTAGCTCAGCTCTGTCTTCAACTTGCCCTGCTCTGGGTTTCTGAAATTACCAGGGTTTTTAAGCTGTGGTCGGAAATCACTTTTTAAAAATAATATCAATAGCGCCCACCCCCATGGTGCCTTCCCTCTCCCAGGACCTGAGTCGAGGGATCCCCACATGATATAGCCCACCTCCCAATGGCTCCAGGGACATTGCTTCTCTTATCCCACTTCCTGAGTCCAAAACTGGGACCAAAGAGGTCACAATCTGCTCGAGGTCACAAAGTCAGGTTTCAGGATTGTCAGACCCCAGACCCCAGGTCTGTCTCTTCTTTGATGGAAAAAGAAGAGACACCTCTGCTTGTACTTTCTCATAGAGCACTTTTCTCTTGGAAGGCAAGGATCTATTTTCTAAACAGGTCTCTGTGTTATAAGTAGGATTATAATGAACATCCTTGGTATGTTGCTGTTTGCACACTTCTCTATGTCCTTAAAATAATTTCCCAGCAGTGGGATTGTTGGGTCAAAGAAAATACATATTTAAAAAAAATACCATATTATTAAATTGTCTTCTGGAAAGGTCTGCATGCTGGCCAGTGGTGTTAGAGTGTCTCCTGAAAGTGTGGTTCATAATCGACACACCCAGACTCCACGCGGACCTGACCTTATGCACTCACAGTGACTGGGATGCCTATCACTACAGCGTTCATCAGTGGCTTTATGTGAATCTGCTGGTTCTTTCAATAGGAAGGCGAGCTCACTGAGGTCAGGAATCCCGCTTCATGCATCTCTGTAACCCCAGAACTGAGCACAGATCCTTGCATATAGAAATAGCTCCATGAACGCCTGTGCCGGTGAATTTGTAAAGCCCAAGGCTGTTGGAATGGAGAATACACCTGTACTGAGTGAGAGGCAATGTGGTCGGTGGAAACTAACACAGGAGTTGGAGTCAAGGCCACTGAAGTTTCAATTCCTCCTCTACCATAGCTGGGTCTGGGGCCCTTAAGCAAAATCACTTCGACCAGTAAAGCCCCACTTCCCCCACGTATAAAACAGAGCTAAGGGTGTCTGCCGTCCAGCGCCGTTGTCAGGAGTAAGGTCAAGTGTTGTAAACACCTGTCTCTAGGGTTTTTAGCCTTCTACGTGCTATTCACAGCAACCCATGACTCACGGGTGGTGCTGGTTTACAGCAAGTTTTCACTAACCTGCAGCCAAGGGAGAACAAGGAAGATAATACACTGAGGTTTTCATAAAGCAAAATCCTTTCCATCGGAAGAGCTGTTTCGTGAGATGATGTGATTTCTGCCTCCTCTTTGCTGTTTAAACACCCTTTTGTTTATGAAATGATGGTGACAGTACATGGGAGCTGCTTTTTTTTTTCTTTCTACAGTTTCAACTTTGACAAAATTTAAAAGTTAGCGACTACTAGCCCGTCTCACCCCAACTTTGTCGCATGTTTTTCTGGCTCATAAACATAAAGGGCTTAGAGCAAATGGCTCGGGCGACAGCTTCATTCAGACTTCCGATCAAATACAGTATCCCCATTCTAAACCCTTAGTGAGGGTAAGAGAAAGAACTGGAAGGCGACAATGCAAATGTCCCCCATAAAACTACTCACAGTTATTTTTGAGTGATACGAAGAATCACATGGGTATTTTTTTAGAACAAAACTGTGAGAATTTTCAAGTGTGCACATTGTTCCCTTGGAAGCACTGACTTTGGGGGGCTCAACCCCCATGCCACATTCGGAGCCACTCTCTGCTCTGTGCCCTCCTGGCTTCCTTATCTGCCATCCTTCTTGACCCCAAATGGTTTCTCCAGCTTCCCGTCATCCATCTTAGGAGCTGCTTTAGTCCTCTGTGGCCACTGACTGTTTCGAAAAATCAAATCTACCCATAAAGAGTGGAGATTTGCCAAGGTCCAGGAGATCCAAAAGAGGGACAGAAGCTCTGACGTGTGAGCAAAGCGACATTACTTTTGATTACCTTCTGGACCTGTGCTATTGAATGCATGACCTGAATATCTTGGTGGATGCCATTCCTCCTTGGCTAAGAGACCTGGGACCCCAGCCGCGTTGGCCTGATGCCTCAGGCTGTGATGCACGGCGGGAAGGCTGGGTGAAGAGGCAAGTCTAGAAACAGACCTCTAAGGAGACAAATTGTTAAGACCTGTTCTGAGAAGCATGTAGGGGACTGTGATACCCCAACACTGAGTCTCATCCTGTGACCAGGGTTTGAGGAGTAGCCCCAAAGACTGTGGCATCAAAAGCTTTCAGAACCAAAACCCCAGAGCAGCGCAGTTTGAGAAGGTCCTTTGTCTGCTTACAGGGCGGGGGTAGGCGGGTAAAGATGGCGGGTGGCACTGGTAAGGAAGGCAACCACAAGAGTGGTCTCATCGTAGACTGAACAGTGGCTCCCAGAAAGCTGTGTCCACATCCTGATGCCTGGTACCTGTGAATGTGACCTTATTTGTAAAAAGGATCTTTGCATGTGTAATTCATTGAAGAATCTCAAGATGAGGTCATCCTGTATTAACCAGGTGGGTCCTAACTCCAATGGCAGGTTCTTACGAGAGAGACAGAGAACAGATGCTGAGAAGGCCATGTGACGACAGAGGCAGAGATCAGAGTGATGCTGCCACGAGCCACAGAACACCGAGAAACTCCAGGAGCCACCAGAA